GCAAAGAGTTCGAGGCCGTGAAGAAGAAGCGGTTCGAGACGAGTTCGCTTGGGGAGATGACCACGCTTTTGGGCTTCAGGTCCAACAATCTTCAACCGGAATCCTTATTCACCAAGCAAAGTATGTGGATGATGTGCTGGAGAAGTTCGGGTTCCGAGATGTGAAACCTGCTCTTACACCCGTGGCGAAGAGACCTGTATTAGCTACTGATCTTGAAGGTGAATCTGTAGATCAGACGTACTATCGATCAATGATCGGATCACTTACGTATCTAACTGGTAGTCGCCCAGACATAATGTTTGCGGTCTGTCAATGCGCTCGCTATCATGCTAATCCTAAACTTTCTCATTTAAATGTTGTTAAACAGATTTTTCGGTATCTCAAGTGTTGCCCAAAACTAGGTCTTTGATGTCCGAAAAATCCAGAATTTGATCTTTTACGCTTTTGCAGACAACAATTATGGCCGGTGCGAGCTTGATAGAAAATCAATTTCAGGAGGATGTCAATTTCTGAGAGATAGACTGGTCTCATGCCAGTGCATAAAGCAGCATACCGTCTCAACCTCAACAGCAGAAGTGAAGTATGTCACTGCGTCTGCCTGTTGTCTCAAGTGATATGGATCCAACATCAGCTGTTGGATTATGGTTTGAATTTTCAAGAAACCCCTATATTTTGTGATAATGAGGTTGCGCTCCAAATTGCCAAAAATCCGGTCCAACACTCAAAAACCAAGCACATCAACATCAAAATTCATTTCATCAGAAAATGTTTTGAGCGCTCGCTCATTCGGCTAGAACAAGTCCGCTCTGATAATAATGTAGCAGATTTGTTCACCAAGCCATTTAACAAAGCTCGATTCGATGTGCCGGTTAATTTTCTGAAAATGATTCGCTTTGAGGATTAATTTTTGTTAGGTTAGTTTAAATTTGTGCATTTTAATTTCATTCTCACCCATGCACAAATTTAGGGGGAGAAATAAACAAAAACCAATTAGAAAATCTATAAAATCCAAAAACATCAGAAAATAAAATCCAAAAACATCAAAAGGAATCAAAAATAGTTTTGTGAAGTGATCATTTGGGAAGTGATATCAAAAGGTGATGACAGGAAACCTGGATCTGTGTAAAGTACCAAAGCTGAATTGTCTAGGCTCTATGTTCGATGCACTGGTAGGCACGTAGAATTTAGTGGACTTAACTACGCAAAGATGAACCTAAGAAATCAAATGACTTGACAAATGTTGACCTAGATAGATACGTTTAGCCTGACAATACGACGCTCGGATAGGTTGAGCAGGGAGATACACATGAGAATCCACCAGTCACATTAAGAGAACCTGTATCTAGAACTGTGGTTTTACTTTTCCTCGATGTACGGATTCTGTCCTTAATTCCGGTATTGACGGAGTGACTGAGAAATTCCAATAAAGTAGGTCTATAGAAAATTGTTTTCTTTCTTTCTTAATGTTAGTCAATGTTTCCTCCTTTACGTGATTGGAAGAGATCCGACCTGGACTGCAACATATGCAAATCTGTCTATATGGATCTTATATCTGCTATTCTTCCTGTCTGTTAGCCATATGTTGTCTCCTTTGTGTGATTCATAATCCGACCTGGTACACAACATATGCAACCTTCTACTTCTAAATCCCTCTAAATCTCTGATTAATAATGAATATTATAAATCTATCCTCTCTACGAATAGTAGTCTGGTCATCTAAAGTAAGGAGTATCTAGGAAGTTCTAGATTATTGGGGTATATCAGGTTGCGGGAAACATGTTCTAGTACACTTAAAATTGAACCAATTCTAGATTATCTGTAGATCTTGCTGCTCAATTTAGGTGGACAACAATATCCTTGGTCGTCGTCAGATGAATGGTCCTTAGGAAATTTTATCTAGGAATATAGGATCATCTTGTCTTGTCATTTATAGCATGTCCAAAATTTGTCATAATTTTTCGTGCTTAAGTGGACCACAATACCGACGATCGACCAGATCTATTCATGAAAGGGGAGGTGCTGATAAATTGAAAAGGATTGTCTAACAATTTTGATCCCAAAAGATTAATCAATTTCAATATAGAGGATTAAAATATGTTACAATTAAAATATTAATAGTTTTATTTTTTACTTTTATTTTTTATTATTTTGAAATTAATCCTCAAAATGTTTTGTTTCGAAAATTTTGAGTTTTGGGCTTTTATTGGCAAAAGAAGAAAGATGAAGGGCCGGCGCAGAATCATTGGACCATATTAAAGGAGGAATGTGCGGTCATAACTCATTTTTACCCTTTCTCGACCGCACACTCCTCTGATTCACTCTCTTTCTCATCTTCACGATATCTCCTCATTTTCATTGAAACTTAAGTTTTATACTCGTTAATATCATAAAAACGTCTGCCATAATACTGTTTTGGATCGAAATGGACATTGAAAACGATATCATATGTACGTGTGTTACCGCACACAACGTGTGCGGCTGGCTGTGTGTGGCAGACCGTGTGCGGTTAGTCTGTGTGTGGTTGCCACGTGTGGAGCTTACCCATGTACGGCCGCACCATCTGTGTGCGGTAGGACTCGTGTGCTACTAATAAGTATTTAATGTTGATTTAATTTTTTTAAATCTCTTGATTTTTTCTAATGTGTTGTTTATTTTCTTTTATTTTTAGAAAATCATGGGAGACTCTGAGTTCGCAAAAGTGCACAACTTGGCCATCTTACTAGAAGATCCTCCAATGGACCATCTCGATCTCAAATTTATTGTTGATGCTTTGAGAAGATGTTGCTTGGTCTCTGCTCTCACATTCAGTCCAACAATCTATCAATGTCTGATTAAAGAATTTTGGAGGAGCGCTTTTCTAAAGAGGAACAATAACGATGAGGAATATCTTGAGGCATATATACAAGGAAGGAAAGTTTTAGTCACAGAAGACATCATTCGAGAAGCCCTACAAATCGATGATAAGCATGAATATCCAAGAGAATTAGTGATAATCAGATTAAGGAAGTTCTTGGACAAATGGGCTATGAAGGAACCTTTCCACCAACCCACAAGAATCTGTTGCCACCTTGTTGGAAATATTTGGATCATGTTTTTGTGAGCTATATTTTAGGACACAGATCTGGTGCTAACGAGATATCTCTGGCAAATACTGGTGCCATCACTTCTTTGGCCTCTGGAGTAAACTTTAATTTTTCGAAATTCATCTTGCATGAGATGATTTTGAATGTTGAACGAAACAAAAAGGACAAGTTTCTGATGTATCCAAGGTTTATCCAACTGATCCTTAACTTCATGCATCCTGAGATTGAAAGGAAATGATAGACCCTGGATATCAAGTCAGTCGGTCCAAGTGCTTTTGGTTTAATGAAGCAAAAGAGATTAGGAAAGATCAACTTTGAAGGGAAATTTCCTTTAATCAGATTTGGTATCTTTGCCGAGGAGAATTATCAGTCAGAACCCAACGAATCTTCTGGTCCTACAGAGACTGACGATGTGGTCATCTCTACTTCTGAACCTAAAATTGAAGGAGGTTTAAAATCTCATGTGGCCAGATTTGCATCAGAACATGATATGATGCAGATTGTGGAAGATGAGAGTGATACTGATGGAGATAGAGAAGAACATGAAGGAAATGACGAATTTTTAAATAATATGCACTTCTCAGTCCTTGACAATGTTGCCATTCCCCTCAACTTTGATTTTGAATAGGAAATTGAACTTGACACATATATGGACCTCTCTGACAGGTTTTTTGAAAAGGTCGATGAAGCTGCACAAACTGCAACCAAGACTAGGACTGAAAAGAAGACTCTCAATCCTACGCCTCCTTCGTCTACCCAAATGGAAGAAAATTCAAGTCAACAGGATACAGATTCAAGGATTCCTCCCCTAGACTCTACTACTCCTACATTTATCTCGACATAGGAACAAACCTCTCTGTCTCCCATACAAGGAATGGATCAGAATTTGAGGCAGGGAGTATTCACTCAAAACCAGTCACGACCTGTTTCAGTCACTATTATCACTACAGCTGTTGCAACACCACCTCTCCAATCCCATGAAGGTCCAAGTACCGTGTATGAGACAGACGGACAATCTATTATTCCATCTTATTCCCCAACGAGACCATCGCTTGATGAGGCCTCTATCAGACTCGCCAAGCACCTTGCTCAACACATTCCATCCTCTTCTTCTCGTGGCAAAGGTAAATCTTTCATAGAATAGCCTTCAGGTGATGACAAATCTACAGTGTCAGAACTTCGAGAAGAGATTGGTGTTCTCAGGAAAGAACTGATTGAAAAGAACATTCAAATGGATCAACTCACTTCTCACATTGAAGTTCTTAGAAAAAAGGATGAAGAGAAGTCTAAACAGATTAAGGATCTGCAGACGAATCTTGGCTCTGTGACTACCTTCTTCTTCAATTTGAAGAACGTTTTGTATGATGCCTTCAGGGATAAAGTTAAAGCATTATTTCAGCAGCCGCACGGAATTGATGATCCTCCCATGGCCCCCACACAATCTACTTCAGGCAACCTTCCAGTTGATCCACCTCCTCTTAGAAACAACCACAATTATCGATAGATTTGAAAAGGAACCTTAAGGCAGCAGAGCCCGCATCACAATCAAACAGGGAAAGAGGACTATTATGGCTAACAAAATCCAAGGGTTACTCTTCATGAAAAATTCAAACGAGAATCGCAAAGCCAAAGACCCTGTGCTAACAGTCTGATCTCAAAAAGAGAAAATTTGGTGATGAGTATGGAGATCGCTCTAGGATCAGAATGTGGGGTTATGATCCTGAGTCTAAACTACGGGTGGTTAAGAGGAATTTTGGTCACTCAGAACACTACAAAAACATCCATGATTTTCACTCATGGACAAAGGTTGATCTCTTTGAACTCTCTAGAGCCCCATTCCACAATCCCTCTAATAATCAAAGTGCTACAAATTTCCAGCAGTTCCAGATCAGATAGGTTAGGGATAATTTCCCATCAATGAAGACAGCAAAAGCCATGATTGTAAAGGATAAGGATATTCTTGATCTTGAGACTAACCGGCCAATGAAGATCATGTTGTGGCCTACTACCTATCAAGTCAAAGAGATTCCCATTCCACAACATTTTCAGGAGGGATATCTTGATGATATGGAGTTTTGGCTTTTGATGACGAAACAACAACTGCATCTATCAAGTTCAAAAACAGGGACACTGTTCTGAGACTCGTCTGCGCAAAGGATCTTCTGAGATTTATGGAGAGCGACATTCAAACCCTAGCTCATCACCAATTATTTGTAGTAAAGATGTCATGGAGGTTGCTGTGAAGGAATTCACTAGAATGGTCGCCTCTATCACAACTGGAAAGCTATGGATGGGATCCATGGGAAAAGCTAACATGAAGCTGTCCAAAGTTCCTGAAGAATGAAGATCTGAGTTCATGCTAGCCACAAACCAAGGGGGAGATTGATGGTCTATGATTTTATGGTTTGGGCTAGGCATTCTTTTGTATAGCTCTGGATAGGATGTTGGGGTGTGTTATAGCTTAGTTGTGAGTGTGTTATGCCATTCCTTTGTGTGCGGCCGCACACTGTGTGTGCGGCCGCACTGTTGTGTGTTGCTACAGGTGGTATAAATAACTTTAGTTTGTATCAAAAGTGAGTGACGAATGAACGGTGATTTATCTATGTGTACTTTCAAGGTGTACTTGACATTTATGAGCTATAGATGTCTGCATGCTTGATGTTATTTCTCTTCTACTTCTTCTACTTCTACTTCATTCTGTTTTCATTGTTATTACTTCACTGATTACTGATTTGGATCTATAGTTTTTGGGACTAACAATCATATTGACATATTCTTAAAAGAGGCAACTCTTGTTCAGAAGTGATAGTCAAAATGGGAACGTTTCATAGGTGGAAGTTATTAAATATATGTAATATTAAAAACCTTAATGACAGAAGGATGTTTCCCATGTAATTGATCTCTATTGGAATACTCTGTAATGTCTTTTGACAAGTCATTATGACATTGTGCATAATCATTACAAGAGGATCAATGCATATAAGTTTAAAATCTAATAGATTTCAATAAATGATAGGAATTTGGAATCCTTACATTTTCAATAAGGATTTGGGAGTGTGAAATTCTTACATAGTCGTTCTTCCCGAATGACTAAGTTATTCAAACCATCCACGGTCGGTCATATGTTGGAAGTAGATATGAATCAATACTGTCATGGGTTGGCATGTAGAGGTCTAAGATGTTGGACAAAGTGGTGCTACAACACTCATGAGTGCTCATAAGTTCTGAGTATAGGATTCAACCCACGCTCATTGGAATCACTTCATGGATTTTATCACGAGTGATCATGAGACGATAATATCTTATATTCTTCAAACCTAGAGATGTAAGTTGTTACTATGCGTTGGCTATAAATTGATTGCACGAAAACGCTTTGGTAACTCGATGTTATAAAACGTGCCTTTGTGTGTGATTCAACAAGTAGTAGAACAAGCCATATGAGTCGAAGTTTATCCATTCCTTTTACCTTTGGGATAAAAGCAATATTTGTGGGCCCCTCGATGATTTGATGATGACACATGTGAGTGCTTGGCGAAGCCAGGACTGATTTGATCTGTTCAATCAGTCAGTCATCATAAATCGAAAATCGGGAGATAACAAATGGACAGAGAGAATGATTTTAATCCATGTCTCAATCCATATGATATATAGAGTGGAGGAATATTTGATCCCTTATCTAATGGACAAGTCATTGACAAAGGTCAGAGTTCAAGAGAAGCTTTTGAGAGCTACAATTGCTGATCAGTTCCTGAAGTCATACGTAATATTATTTGTAGACTTATCCAAGTGGGAGACCATTGAATTAATGTCGAAGTCCATACCTATAATTGGTAAGACTTGACCCAACCCGGTATGGTTCATTTGGGTTGCATGGCATCGGGATAATTGGAGAGACAAGATGAGGAAAAAGGATACTAGTGATATATATTAATATATTATAAGTTCTAATATATTAATATATACTCATATTATTTACTTAGTATTGATCAAGAATTAATTTATAATTAATTAAGTGATCAAAAGGAACTAATTAAATATGGACTCTTAGATATATATGTGTGGTGGGCCAAGTTCATTTAGGTTGGGCTAAGCTTTCATGGATAGTCCATGGAGTGTTTAACCCATGGATCATATGAAATGAAAGGTAATGGGTTTAACCCTAGTCTCCACACTATATAAAGATGTCCTTGGTTGGTGAAATTGGCACTAGTGTGGGTACACTAAGAGGGCTAGCCGATTTCACTAGAGAGAACCAAAGTATCCTTATTCTCAAGGTTATTCCAAGTGTTCATGGTGTTGTGTGAACCATTTGAGGTGTCACACTTAGGGCACTAGGCACTCAAGCTTCATGAAGACAAGTTAGAAGAAAGAGGTATGTATTCTAACATGTTATATTACTATGTATCAATGTTTTGGTATGATAGTTAGGATAATACCTTGGAAAGTTCATATTTGCATGTATAATAGGGAAAACATAGATCCAAGGTATTTAGGGTTGCATGTACACTTAGCAGTATTAGAATCCACAAAACCCAACATATATATGCTATATGATTGTATGGTATGTGGTACAATGAGGGAACTCACTAAGCTTCGTGCTTACAGTTTACAATTTTGGTTTTAGGTAATCCTTCAACAAATGGGAAGGAGTTGGCGCGATAGCAACACATCATACACACACGTATTGGTTTCCGCACTTGAGATATTCTGGGATTGTACTCTGACATGTTACTATTTTATGATTTCGGGTTTTCAGACATGACCTATTGATTTACGGAATGATATATTTTTATGTAGTTTTCTTATGAATGTTTTTATAATCAGTTAATTAAAATTAAAATTTTGGACTCGGAATTTTGGTCGTTACAGATCTTGCTTAGAAACGAGTTTTGAGGCCATGCATGAAATCTTGATCTTTTTGCCCTATTTTGACCTAATAAGAGTTTAGGACATGCATTAGATATGCATGGCTGAAAAGCACCAATTTTATGGTGTGTTTGATGTTAGAGACTCTTTTGAAGCTTTTGTTTAAGTAACCTCATGGATTGGATGATTATTGCTTAAGCCATGAAGTGTTTTTGATCTTAAATTTAAGAACTAAACATTTTGGAGGGTTCTATTGGATAAGGTTGGAAACCTTATATATCTAGACCCTATTTTGGACCAAATCTGAGTTGGAGACCCTTTGGAATCAAAGAAAGTGGCTGAATGCATTAAGCTACTGAAAATCCCATTACCACAATGTGGCAAGGCCACCATGATGTGGTGGCGGGGCAGATCGCGATTGTTTCGTCGTATTCGGTACCACGACGTGGCAGTAAGCTGAGTTGACTTGTCTTTACCTTTTGATCGTCTAACTTAGTTTGACTAATAAGGGGCATTTTGGGTATTCTGGATTATATTTCAGAATTTGTCTTTGATGGTTAGGAGTCGGTTAGAGCTGAGTTTCAGAGTCAGGACCTCATCAACTATTATTCAGATTAGGATGTGAGTTTCTCATTGTATCAATGGATCGAAGGTACCAAAGGCGACGCATCCTTTGCGTTACAATATGCAAATTATTTGTGTGGAATGTGTATGAAAGAACAGGATGTGGCCCTTGACAATTTTATGGAAGACCAGGATCTGGCCTCTGGCAATTGTATGAAAGACCAGGATCTGGCGACGCATCCTTTGCGTTACAATATGCAAATCTTCACTTGGATTCATTAAGCACGAAAAGATGGACACTATAGATCCAAATTCGGACTTCTAAGTACCATCTCAGATGTTCGATGAACTTCTTCTTGACATGCTCCGGAGAATCACTTTTTGGCGGTGTTGGAGATGAAATTCTGAAGGATATTTGTTAGGACAAGGTGTTTGTCAAGAGCTGTAAAGAATTCTTTTCGATTTGTAATCTTTTTGAGATAGACATAACCGAGTTCTAGTTCTTCAATGGGGCCTTTAGCCAAGATCTGTGCTTCAGTGAGTTCTGTAGTGATTTTTTCCAAAATGCTCTCGGTTCTGAACAGGTGAGCAAATTCAATGTCGGATCTGAAGAGCTCAACAGCATAATCCTTCAAGAAATTTATTGTAGCACTGTAGGCTCTGATGCTCGTGTCACTCAATTGGCGATCTTGGAAGTAAACGACTATGGTGAGAATGTAATTTGGGTTGATCAAAGGAAAATCTACATCCGTGATGGTGACAATGGCTTCTTTGTTCCGAGAGACATAGTATTTGTACAACATGCAATTCAGATCAAACTTGATCTGAACCTTGTTACCTTATTCGTTGATCTTGGTAATCATCTTTTGAGACCACACCTACTTTTAGGGTCATGCATTGACAGAGTAAAAGGTTCTCAATCTCTCACGCTCTGTCTTAATTATTATTTGAGAATCATCATTCGAATATAAAAAAACTTTCTTGATATAGAAATGATCGTGACGAGAGATTGGCAGGTCAAGTTGATCAACATCTTGTGTCGGAAGATCATAGTACATGAAGGGTGATATTGCCATATTTATGCATACTTTTAGGCAATATTTGAACACATTTTTATACATATTTTGGTTATTTGCATTGATAAATGGTACTTATAAGGTTAAATTATATTTTGCAGCCCAAAAGAAGACATTTTGAAGAAAAGGAACTAAAATCATTAAAGAATGGAACTTTGGAGAATAAAGGATTGAAAGATTAAAAAATCCAGAAAAATACGTATTCACGACGTGAGGATTAAGAACTCACAATGTGAGTTAGGACTTTCTAGAAGATAGACATCGTGAAGCAAGAGTCCTTGTTGAACACGGATAACCACTGAACTCACGACGTCAGATGCATAGGCTCACGACGTGAGTGTGGATATTTCAAAAAATATATAAGTCCTTGATCCCTACGAAATTAAGAGGTTGGCTGAATTGAGAAGGGTTCCATAAGTCGAATTCCAGAAGAGGGAAGGCTTGGGAATTGGTTCTAATACAAAGGAAGAAGAAGAAGAAGTTCATAATCCACTTTCTAGTTTGGTACATTATAAGGTTTTGAATTATGACTTGTTTATATTTGATTGTTAGAATGAGTAGCTAAATCTAGATGCTTCTGTTAGCTAGATGAAGATGGAACTCATGGTTTGATTATAGTAATTAGACTTATCTTGTTGGTTAATGTCTTGTGTTTGATTGATTATACCTAGCATGCTTGATTTGATAACTAGATTATTTTAAATTCTTATTCTGTGTAGTTAGTGACCATTAATCTGCATGAATTTGATTACCTAGTAATTTAGTGAACATTAGATTATTATAGCTAAGATCGAACCAATATTAGATAAGTAATTGAATCGTTGAATTTGGCTATGCT